TACATGTATGAATGAAAGTACAGGATGGTAGGACTATCTTGAAACTAAAGGGCAAGGACAGTGATGGAGTCAGGTATCCAGAGTTGGATCTCCAATACATGTTCATGTATCTACATGTATACTTACTATTATTAGCAAAAATTTATTTACCAAGTTCATCCGAATAAAGGCTTTTTATAAAGGCATGCTAGTGCCAGTGTAGCTAAGTAATTTTAAGGCTTCTTATATAAACTTAATGTTACTGACCTTAAAGCTTAAAGTAACATTGAGGATTAAATTCAACATCACTCATACATGTTTGTGAATTTTTTTTTATGTACATGTATAAATGAGAATTTTGTCCATCAACATTAACACTTTTAAAACAGTTAAATATACTTATATTGTGGTTCCAATTTTGTTTTCATATAGATCTCTACACGTCTGCTTTAATATTGAATCATTACGTGACTCACTTCCCCTTTTATTATCAATGTTTTTAAATTTCTTACTGGGAGAATTGAAATAAGACCATAATGGATAAGCAAACTTTGAAACGCAAAGGCAACAGATAAAAGACAATTTATCAATTTGGTTTATTCTTAAGATCTTTAATTCATTCTCAGGTCCAAATAACATGACTTTGTCTACTTTCAATATGATTTAAAACAGAATTCATGTATACCCTTTAAACAATTCATGTTATCAATTTATTTCAAATCTTGATTGAGAAACAAATGATATTTATTTCTTTAAAATATGGACTGAGAAGTATAAATTTGATGCTCATTATAACATGCTTTTTCTGGGACCAATACTTATAAGTCATCAACAATCTGTTTTGATTGGCTATTATAAATGTAGGCCCAAGCTTCTTTCACAATACAACTTAAATGAAACTATTATAATTAAACTAAAACAGGTGACATGAAAAAAAACACACCTTTATGTGACATAATCACATTATCATTTTTTGTAAAGTCAATTTTATTTCCTTTAACCGTAAAAGTTTAGTTTTTCACACACAAAAATATCTGACAAACACAAAGAAGTGAGAAACTTCATGTCTGGCACTACTGTATTCTGCCATCACACAAGACAAAGTATATATGACAGAAGTAGATGACTGATTATAACACTTTGTTATACCATGTGACATATTCCTATTATCATTATTGTAACATGATAGAAGGACAGCTAATGAGACTATATAATCATTTATCATTATCTATATAATCTAGACAGTGCTGATGAACAAAGATAAGAATTTCAAATCATCAGCACTGTAAATATATAGATGATATCAGTTTATCTAGTAATATATTCTGTCATAAAGAGATGATAGTTGATACTGTATTATCTGTTTAGTACAATTATTTGTGTCTTTCATACATAAAAATTAGCCCTCATTTGGTTTCATGTACAGAACAAAAAATAATAGTAAATACAATTACTAAATTCTTTATCAAGTTACTGTTCATGTACATTTGTGTACTGAAGATTCCCCAATTGAAAAGTTAAACTGATATATACCACAATAAACTAGAGGTCTAGAGTATAAATGAATGCTTGTAAACTTGTTAAAAAGCCCTGACATCTCAATACAAATAATCTTGTCTGAGTGGCATTGATTGTTTAAATCATTATATGAATTACTAGTATCGTTTTAACCTTGACAAACTGCCACAAAAGCCCATATATGATAATTAAATAATATTCTGTAGGTATTTAACATTCTATGGCATGTTATGATGTACATACATGTATATGAAGTTTAAAGTGAAAATATTACTGTACTAAAAAATACATCATTAATATCATAGCAAGCATGTGCAATATTTTTTTTAATTTTAATTTAATCGCATAAAGATCTTCAATTGTTTAGAATTCATAAAAAAACTATACAAATCACTTAACTTCTCAACAGAAAAAAAAAATCACTTTTTTACCTCTCATCAGAAAAAAATAGCCCAATATTAATTAAATGTTACTTATCAAATTATTATTAATGAGACTTATGAATATTAATATCTGAATGCTTGTATTTTTCTTTAATTTAACCCTTATCATTCTAAATATCTTAAACTTACTTGTCAATTATTAAACTTAGACAAATGAAACCATCATTTTGGCAATTTTTCAAAAAAAAGATAATAAAAGGAAGGATTTTTTGGGTTTTGAAATTTAAATCTGTTTTTGCATCCTAAAGGTTAAAAATTTTCTTTAAAATCTTTTAAATATTATAAAAAATTTAATTTTTAATGTTTATCTTTTCCCCCACTGTCAAGCATTAATCTTTGTTACGGTAATCAATGATGTTTTTTATTAGGGGTATGTCACAGTGCATTTTAGGGAGTCATTTTTGTATGGTAGTACAGAGATATCTGTAAAATTATTTATGTTTTAAATTTAGGTATACAAAAAGTAGTACATAATAAACTTTATTATAAATACATTTCTGAAGTATTAGTGCATGTTAAATACACCAGCTGTCATTGTCAATGTTGGAAAATTCTTATCAATGAAATGTGATAGATTATGATATACATTGTAAACTACTACAGTTGAAATAAATTTAAGTGTTATAAAGTTATATATTAAACATTTTTCATGCCAGTTTTATGCATGCTTGTTTTAGACACAACAAATACAACATACTTAAAGAAAGTGTTTTCTTGTGTTAAATTAGTTTTCAATGGACTTAATTCAGGGTTTATGTTTATAGCCAAGAAAATGGGAGAGAAGTGACTTTCTAAGTAACTTCTGTTAAAATAGAAGTATTTTCACATGAGAAATGTTTATGAAGATATTCAATTACAGCCCTATGTTACTCCAGCTGCTTAAATGTGAATTTTCATTGTATAGGGAATCTTTTATTTTCTATATCAGAATAATTATTGAAGCTCATTTTTGTTTTTGTATTGAATATTAGCAATATATAGACAATAACATAAACAAGATATTTTTTACATCCCCTCAGTTCGACTGCAGACAGCTATCTATGGCCGCATGTCATCATGCGGCCTTGATTGCCCACCTGTTGAATAATTTACGCACATGCCTTTAACTGTCAAGTTTTCGCGGAAATTGTTATTCCACCGAAAGAACAGAAAAAAATAAACATTGTACTCATCATTTCATGAAATTATCTCTTGTTTGTGATTCTGCAACTGTATTTGTGAAAACATTAGTCTCGCATCGTGAAAGGGTTTGGAAGTGTAACAGGCGATTAGAATCTTCACCGTTCCAAGTTGTAAGTCTGACATGAATTTGCGATGGATATTGCCAAATAACGCCAGAAAGTTGTTTTAAAATTCAAAACATCAAGAAGTTTGATATGTCATAAACATTTTAGTGGCAAATGTTACCGTAAAAACACGAGGGCTGAATTCCTGGGAGAAAAACTGCCGTATGACCTGATACCTGTTTCTGTGCCAACACTTTTTCAGGTATGTATAACAAATAACACAATAATAAACTATGAAAACTGAACAATGTGCTTCTTTTTTTATTCATATAACTTTAGTATAAATGACAACTAATGTATAGTAACTATAAAGTTTAAAGCCTTTTCCATTTTAATTTTATTGTTGTTGTTCCTATTACGTAGTTACAGATTAGGCTAAATCCTGTCTTTGCCGTGCCAAGTAAGCAAGTTTAATAGGCAAATCATAGTGTTTAGAACCTGAACAATTATTAAAGTTAAACATTTTATAATAATAATTTTGACAAAGAAACACAGACAACAATTTTCTTGGCAAACTAAAATCTAAAATAAATTAAGACTAGTACTGGTCGGGGACCATCAACCGGAAACTTTTGAACATTTTTCCATGTACAGATTTCATAATTTTCAAGCTAGAGATCTGAAAATATGACACAGTACAACTAGGTTCTTCTTGTAACTAACAAAATTGCTCATTTACTTCTGATTATGTTGACACTTGTATCTGAGGCCCATCAAAATTTCCTAAAATTGTCCACACTACAGTACCATGTGTCCAAACAGATATGTAAATGAAGTTGATTTAATTCAGATAAAAACTTGGGTGTTGAATTTTTTTTTATTTTCAACATGATATACAATACTTCAGCAGCAAATGCTGTAGTTTTGGATATTCTATTGTTTACTCAACAAATGATTATGGCTAGTAAAAGAGGTCAGGTATTGCACAATGCACTCTTGACGTCCAAAATTCCAACGTCAACATTGTTGAGAAACACATTTAAAATATTACTGTTTAGGACAGTTTAAGAGTTAAAAAAAATCTAATTACTTAATTATAGAAGAATCATGAATGTTGGTAAAAAAGCGACTGATAGATCTACAACCACTGAACAAAGAAAAAAACTAAATCAGGCATATTCTGGGACGTCCGGGTTTGGTGGTCCACAGGCTCTCAGCCTCTATATGTAGAATATGATATCATAAGTCAATCTGTGCAATGAGTGGATCCCTTTTACATTAGTGTGACTTGCGGCTCAGACTTAATGTTCTAGTGTCGTAGTGATACTTCTATTTAACTTCCATTAATGTCTTACATATTTGCATCTTAATTTTCTACTTAATCTTAAATTAATCTATAGTAATAATAAATAGATCTAATAAATATTTTTCACCGGATTTATTCAATTTTTAAATAAATTTATTGAATTTTATCTCGGAATTCTTCATTTATCGAAAGATAAAACAACTCTATTTTTATAAAAAAAAACAATTTGAAAACATTTGTTTGCCAACATAATTATAATGACTGTAAACTTTATTTTCACGAACACTGATTTCTGATATTAATATAATGAATTCGAATAACCTGTACGTCAATGCCCCAGAGTGGGTTATGTACAGTATTGGAAGAAGAAGAACATAATAATAATTTTCGTGTACCCCACCCACTTATTTAATCAGTGATTTCTGATTATTTTGTAATTAATTTTTTGTCTATTTACAGTTGAATCATAAAGTTCTATTCAAATAAATGATTAAGAAATAATGATTTCTTGTGAAACTGAGCTCTTACCTATAATTACGGTGCTAAATATTCCAAAAAATACAATTAAAAATAAATATCTCTGTACACCGCTATCAGCTACCGCCATTTTCCATTTCTAGATAACTCTGGTATCTCCTACGCAGTGATCTCCCCTAATAATCTGCCAAGGGAGGTAATCACTGTGAGGAGTCAATCCAATCTCTTATTCGAGTTACGTCTCTTTAAATGTATGTCTGTACACTTTAATTGACAACAATATGGTGATTTATCTATACGCCTATACAAACGTATTATAAAATCATAAAAGCGATAAGTTGGTACATTTTGTGACATTAAATCAAATCTACTTCAGGCTTAACAGGTTTTGTAATTAAAAACGTCCGCGATTTTTACACGCAGTTTTGATTTCTTTCAAAATTCTGATTATGAAAAAGAAGATGTTGTTCCTGACATGGCTTTAATTCAGTTAAAACTGTGGTTATTAATATTATAAAATAAATGGATTATAAATTTCATTGGGTTAAATGGCCAGTATAGTCAAGAATATACAGATGCATGTATTTATGGTGGCTGATTTGGTACGCTTTTGTGCGTCTAGTTGGCGCTAGCGACAACACGACAAAGTGCAAAACGGCGCGTTGTGGACTTTCGTTTGGTCGTCCAGTCGCTTGCGACAACACGACAAAGCGCTGACGTCTTGTCGTTCTGTCTCTAACGCGGTACGCCAAACGGCGCGTTGTCGCAATGTCGCCTTGTCGCTTGGCTTATAAGCCAGTCCTTCAATTTGAACCGAGCGGCAATGTGACATCGCAACAACACGCTGCACGACAACGCGCCGTTTGGCGTGCCGACGACAAGACGACAGCGCGACAAAAGCGTACCAAATCAGCCACCATATGTATTAGATAATTTAGATTTGTATTATATATATAAGTCTCTGGAAATAAATATTTTACGCGAATTTCTTAGTTTACAGTGACATACTTTAACCCAAATTTGAACCATCTATTACCTCGCATTATTTGTAAATATAGAAACCTTGTTTTACGCAGATCTAGAGCAGATTCTCTAATGAAAACAAACTTTATAGGCGTTCAAGGATGCTTATTGATATGATAGGTTAGTTGTTAACAACAATATCTGTAAACTGTGTACGAGCAATATTGAAAATGAATATCATTTAATTCGGTCAGAGGCCGTCTGTTGTTTTCAGTTGGATTTCCTGTTACAATTTACAGGGAAGACCTGAATTTATGTAAAAAAAATCATTGTTTTTTAAAAATTACAATCTAAAATCTCGGAATCTGATTGGCCATTGTAAAAGTTAGTGTAAAGAAGATAAAGGATTTTTCTGACATATAGTATACGCTTCAAATTTTTAATTGATCTAAAGAAGTCCTTGAAAGGAACTATCTACATTTATCATACCTATAAATATTTCGTTGCTAGAGATATCTTTGCTTCTTGGCAAAGGAACGTCATATCGTAATTGTTCAAAAACTCATATAGCACGTTCCGCAAGACAATCTTGGTATTATAAATCGACAACCATTATTTATGTCAAAGAGCCCTTTAGTTAAAACACATTTGTATAAGTTTTTTCAGTAACCCAGATGTCATGGATTCGAGCTACGACGTCAGCTTGAAATGCATCTAGCAGACTGAGAAGTTTATACTAGAAAGATACAATTAAAATTCAATCTCAGATCAGAATGTTGATATTTTGTGTCTGCCTTTCAGCTACAGGGATGTTTGTCTGCGGTGTTATCAGTATTACAGCTATTATGATTTTGCCAATATTACAAATTTAATTTATGCATTCACCACTTTACGTCACGTACCCAGTTTCTGTCACAGGCGTCCAAACTAGCGCGGTCGACGTGGTACCTATATAGGAAGAAATGTATTTTCGAGACTGCCTATGATGACAAAAAATGCTCTGAAAATTGCGAACATTCTGACAGAAAATCAAACTCACACTTGTTTTATTTGTATCGTACCTTTAACCACAATTGGGGCTTTAAACTACCATTTATAATATTTTTCTCATGACGGACAAGATGTTGATGCAAAAGGTGCATCGTAAAAGCTTATTATTGACACGCAGTTAAAGGACAAAAGATTCATTACGACCAAATTTTCCAATGTATGTCAGTAAGCCTGATGTGTTATGTCACTCGCTGTTGAGTTCATATACGTAAGGTTGTTCTTTATATTTTCATGTAATGTGAAATGACATTGAATTGATGGAATACGTTTGATTTGAAATTACGTTTACTGTGGGGCATTAAAAATGAGCCGCGTCATGACAAAACCAACATAGTGGGTTTGCGACCAGCATGGATCCAGACCGACCTGCGCATCCGCGCAGTCTGATCAGGATCCATGCTGTTCGCTATCAGTTTCGCTACTTGTAATAGAGTTTGAAAGCGAACAGCATGGATCCTGATCAGACTGACCGGAAACGCACTTTGTTGGTTTTGTCGTGACGCGGCTCAAATGTTTTTTCGATGATAACTTTTCCATCTTGAGAAAATAAAACAAATGAAAGTTTCAAAAGCATATGCAACAATTACATAGACATACAGGCAGATTGAAAACAGTATTTTTTGTTCAACTTTGAATGCGCTTATATTATAGATCAAAGCAATTGTGTAAATATGACAACTGTTAACAGCACTGTACCTTTACACTGCTGGGACCGAAAATGAGTTTACCAGTATAGAGATGTAAGCCCGGCTTTAATTAATCATAACAAAAGAGACTTACATATTTAAATGGTCTGAACTTAGTCCTATAACATAAGACGTTTCTGTTAGTACTACGTACACTAACGGATACATTGTGGCGCCGTTATATGTCGCAACGCCGCTAAATGTCGCACTTACCGCTAAATGTCGCACTTACCGCTAAATGTCGCACCAATACCGCTAAATGTCGCAACTGTCGCTAAATGTCGCAAAAGCATTTGCCGTTTAATGTCGCAATGTTAACGTTAAATGTCGCACGAATTTCCGCTACCGTTAAATGTCGCAACACTACCGTTAAATGTCGCAAGATATAAATTCATGTTAAAATCATGATTAAAAGTAGTCAAGGTCAAAAAAAAAAAGGTCAAGGTTGTAAATGAAGTTACACGGGTTTTCATCGTAGTGATAAAACTAAGGTTTAAAATTTGAAAATTGGATTAATTTTTAAAAATAAAGATACTGTGAGATGGGAAATTTCATAAGAAACATGAATCTATAAACGGTTTGGCATTTTGAAGTTGGGAAAGTTAGTAAATTTATAGATTTTGATATAACAATAGAATGTGGTGAGAATGTAGCACGGATTTCACGAGGATTTTTTTGATTATCAAGCGTTGGCTGTGTAGTGTATCGGACAATAGTTGACTGGTTAGTCTCTGTGTGTAAAGTGTGAAAAGTGTATATCTCCTTGAAGAAAATACATATAACATAATATAACACTTGAAAATGCCTCCAAGAAAAGACAGAACTTCTGTCTCCGGATCAGCATCGAAGAAACCATCGAAATCGACAGAAGAACAAGGTGATGCAGATATGTCTCCGGCTGGCAGAAGTCCAGTAGAAACTTCAAAAACTAAAGGTAAACCAAGCGAGGCTTCTAACCAGCCCAATCTGGATAAACATTTGATATTTAATGCAAATCCTGATGAGTTGAAGCATATATTGAAGAGTGTCTCTGATAAATTAGATAGTTTGGCATCACAAGAATACATTGAATCAAAATTTAAATTAATGATTACTGAGGATCTGCTTGGTAAGAAGCTCAAAGACCTAGAAAAAGTCATTAAACTCCAAGTGCAGAAGGAACTAGATAATATACATAAAGAAGTGAAGGTAGTAAGTGATAGGGTTAAGTCAATAGAAGATGTAGTAGAAACTCTGAGAAATAAAGTATCAGATTTAGAAGTAAAAACAGATCAACTGCAGGAAGGAAACCATCAGTTACTACATAAAAACAAAACGCTTCAAGAGCAAATAGATGAAAGGGAAGTTAAAGTTAAATCACTGGAAGAAAAGAACAATCATCTAGAACAGTATACGCGATGTAACAGCGTCAGAATTTACGGAGTTGCAGACGATGTCAGTGAAACCTACAAGGACACATGTAAGAAGGTAATTTCAATTATTTCCGATAAGCTACATATAAAAGTCGGAAATGGAGACTTTGACATCACACATAGGATCGGGAAGTTCCGTAGTGATGGGAACAGGCCCATCATATGTAAGTTTGTACAGAGATATCTCAAACATGAAGTATTGAAAGCTCGCAGACAACTTAAGGGTTCGTTCATCGTCATAAGAGAAGATCTCACACGGGTCAACGCAAAACTTCTGGAAAACACCTCCGCATAACACGATCAGGTAAAGGCTGCCTGGAGCGTGGCATTACTGAAAAACAATGATGAT